GCCGACCCGAAGGGGAGGTCAGCCCGCTAATTAAATTCAGTTTCGGCCCCTCAACTGACTAAATTCTAGCGACGGGGCTTTAAATTTATTTTTTAATCTTAAATTTAAATAGCCTTGTCATTTTATTGGGACTAAGGTTAAACCCAAAAAAAATTAATTTAAAGCTTATTACATCATTGGTTAGCGAAAAGGGCGACATTTCGTCAATGGCAATATGACACGTCTTTATTGTCTTTGGGCTATTGCTTGACTGGCGACTTTTATAGGGCGCTGATCAATATTCGGCAACCTTAAAAGCACATTATTTTTTCCCAAAAAATGAGAGTTTTTTTTTCTTCTTTCCTTCTTTTCGATGTCTCTTGCAACAATGAACGTTTACCTCTGACCTTTCGAAGGTTGATTACAGTAATGCTAAACGATCAAAGTGAATTTGCTTCCCAATTTCTGAAAAATATCAATCGGAAAGCTACCACTCCTGGTATTCATATACGTAAAGAGAACGGACAATTCCAGAGCTACAAGAGTAAGAATACGTTAACATAAAATTTTTGGAAAGAAATCCAGGTACATCAAAAAATGCAAGAGAAAATTTGGAGCGCCTCTGATTGCATCGTCTGGCCAATAGAGACAAGCAATTTCAAACGCAAAACTGGTTATCTGCTAGATTCAGAAAAAAACCTGATACTGGACGATCAACACAAGCGAAGAGAAAAAGCCGACAGGTTTGATTCTTTTTGTTCCATTAACAGGGTGGTCAATTTTGCCTAGGCTTTGCCAATCTGTGATTCCGTAGAATCATGAATCCGGTCTTGCGATCGACTACTCATTTTACTTTTACGGGCCAGCTTAATGATTAAATAAGGATTCATGAGTTAACGCTTTATTTGTTTTGTAGAAAACTTACAATTTGGATCACGATGATGAAGAGCCTCCTGCTAAAATTGCATGAGAAGGAATCGTCGATTGTGCTGAAATGACGGAAATGAGAACAAAATTCGAAAATTCTGTGAAAAATAATGATGAAAGTGGCGCGTCTGCCGATTCTGGTTCAAACGACAAACATATCTGCCGTTTTCTATTTTCTAAAGAAGAATGTGGACCTGAGACGTATTCGGAAAAACTTGATGCTAGGAATGAATGACATTGCGTTAGAATCACTTATTCCTGATTTTTTCTAAGCCTCATTCTTCGAAAGGAGATCAAAAATTCAGATTAAATATATTTTGGTTATTTGATCACCCTTTGTCATACTTTTAAAAGAGGACAATCAACCAAAATGTTTAACTTGAGACTTTCTGAAATGATAATCATGTTTCTCCTGAATGGCGACAGGTTTTTTCAATTTTTATCTCTTTAAAATAGTGTTATTAAGACCTGCAGTTATTCATCGTTTTTTCAATCGTTTACCGGCTTATCTTCATTGTTTGGACAAATTTGATAAAAACTCTTTAGATGAGAATTGCAAAGTATATTAAGGGATTTTTTTCATTGATTTTATTAATTTATATTAAGATTTCTTTTTTGAGCTTATTGCTTATTGAAAAGAAAATTTGCTGCAGTTTTACAAGTGTCTCGACATGAAACTCATAAATTCTTATGAATTAAAATTTTATCAAAGAATAATTTGCAAGTCCGGAATAGATATTCTAGCACAGCGTACTATTTATACTTATCAAGGAAAGGCTTTTTATATTATGATCTCTTTTTTAAATATACAAATAATACTATAAAAAATCTTTCGATAGATACTTTCCCAACGATAAGGTTCAAATTAATTTTGTATTTTGAAAGTCAATTTTATTAATTAATTTTTAGAAAAGGTCATTTCTGATGTTTTTAAGCACCGACAAGCAGTCATGTTTGGGAGTGGCTGGCGCCCTCTCTATTTATTAAAAATCCGAATTCCTCAACAAGGCCTGTGAAGCTCCAAAACTGAGATAAAACAGGCCTAACAAGGGCTCATCTTTTTTCGGGGCACGTTACTTTCTTAATAAGGGGCGCTCTGTCTCTGCTAAAAACTTTAGAATGGCTTTCGTATTTCCATAAATCGAATTTGTAATTTGATGTCATATTTGAACTCTGCGTTTTAATTCTGGAGATTCAATTGGAAAATTTTGTTCGGAGGGCGAAAGAACTAACAATTGGAGTTGACGCCACAACAACAAACAGGAGAGGTCGAGATAACGTCGGGAAAATGGACTTATCATAAAAATTTAAAATTGTGATCAATGTCACGTTTTATTTTGAGGCGCTTCCAACGCTGCTGAAAGCAGTGTGTAGGCGAGACCAAGCGATTTTAATCGAATGACCGGCGATTCGATACCCTGAGCGATAAAAATGGAAAGGGTAAACGCTTTTATATCTTGACCTTAAGAAAAGGAATACTCCACTCGGTAAATAAAATGTCGACTCCTTACTTCTCAAAACACCTTGTCCTTTATTGAACCACGGCGCCCTCTGTCATTCCCGTTATTATAATTAAGTTGTCATAATGCTCACAGACGAAAAACACGAATGGATAACATTTACTTGTTTTCAACAGTTACAAAAAGATGGCGATTCTCTTGGTGACAAAGTGATGGAAAAGCTTCAGGAAGTTTCATACTCAGAAGAGCTTCTTAAAACGATAAAGGTGAAGAATTTGAATTGTTTTTGTAAGTAAGACGATTTCTTTAGTTTATACGTAGCGACTCAGCAAAATCTCAAGTTCGTGCCAATTCGCGAATTCAACTGAAATTTCGCGAAAAAGGTTTGCCTGTTCCTCATTTGATGCGATGCCAAATGCATTGTAAGCAATCGCCCCAAACTCCCTTAAGTCAAAAAATATTCTCTAAATTTATTGAAATCTGGCAAAGGATCGGTCAAAAATAAAAAAAAATACTATTAATTCTTTAAATTGACTGTGCTTCAATTTTTGATTTTTTTCGACCTTCATCTGAAGTATGCTTTGGGTCAAGGATAATTTCAGGAAATTCGCAGGTAAGGACTTATTTTTATTTTGATTCTCACTTTTTTTTTAAAGCACGATCTCAAGCATCAGCTTATCGGTCAGAAAGCCGATTAGCAACAAATCCATTTTTGTGGATCCGATTGACAATTATTCCACCTTAACGAGGAATTGTTTACTACGGATCTCCGGTAGTTATATTTTTTCTTTCAACCGCGTTAATTTTCATAGCGCGCGCTTCCAAGCGAATAATCAAAATTCGAAGGCCTTTTAGCTGCATCACAAGCTTGTTCATGAAATAACGAAGAAATATGTAAGAAAATCGATACTCTGAAAAATTGAAAAGATACAAATTTTTTAAGCCACAGAAAAAATATGCAGAAAACATTAATAAGCTGATGATTTCTCAAGCTGATGATAACAAGAATCAGGTTGATTTTTTGTATGAATTTCGCGGTGATGAATAATTTTGATTGCCAGAACATTCATAAACTTAACCCAATTTTCAAAATATCAACCTATACAGTCCTTTTTGGAACTCGGTTCGTAAACAAGAGATGAATTATGGATGCTTAAAAAATGCATACAGGAATCTTCTCTTCGCGGATAATAATCTAGACCTATTATGTGATCGAAAATTATTATTTTTCTGACTTTAAAAAAAGTACAGTTTGAAGCACTTTTAAGGCCGGCCCTTTTAAGGCCACTTTTTCGAAAAATTCCCAAAATCTGTCATCCTAAAAAAATCCACTTTAAGGCCACTTTCCCTTCAATTTCAGTTCAAAATCCGAAAGTTACAGTGTTACTTGAAAAAGCTTGTTATCTTCGACTGCGTGATGCCTTGTGTTTTTATCTTTATTTTTCTTTTTTGGTATTCTTCGATGTTTTTTCTCACTTTTTTCAATTGACGATAATTTCTTACGGTCTTGTTTGAATTTTCACTTAGATTTTGAGTCCAAGTGTTTCAATCTATGATCATTATATAGGCGTGTAAAAATACGCAGAGGAATGTCTTAACCATTTTCTTTCGAAAAAGCTCAGTAATTGTCTTCTTCACGTCACTTATCTTTGACGTCTTCACTAGAATCTCTTCTTATCTTTTTTCTATGCATTTGCCATGTTAGTTCTTTTTTAAGACATGCTTTACGAATATTATTTTTTAAAAAATGAAAGAAAGAATCATGTTGAGTTCAATTTAAAGGACACATTCTGAAAAAGGCTACCATTCATACTTTGTTCGGGCGAAAAAATAAAACTATTTCTATTTTTATGGAAAAAAGTTGAATTATATTCCAAAAACAGTGAAAGAAAGTTAAATGCCGAATAACTTTATGAACCCTCATTTATCTTTTTTCCCAAAAAAGGAAAAAATCTGTTGCCATCCGACTCGAGACAAAAAATATCCATTTTAAGGCCACTTTTGAAATTCGCTGTCATCCGAAAATCGGCCTTAAAAGTGCTTCACACTGTAATATGCGTAAAAAACTGGAATTCGTGCAATCAAGACAACATGAAGACGAGTTTCCCATACCAACGAATCCAGCAAGCTGTTACAGGTTCTCTTTTTTATTTTTTCCCGAAGAAATAATATAACAAGGGGTCTTTTTTCGCCTTTTGGCTCTTGCAAAGGAAGCTGCTGCGTCCAATAAAAATGAAGATAATGAGCTGATGGAAGAGATTGGGAGCAACGCCAGGGCTTCAGCGATCTTGGAAAACCTTGTTGAGCAGCTAACGAATAAAGAAATCGCGAGTATCGATGCTGACTGTGAGACCTTCTCGAAAATATCCCTTTATTTAGTTTCTTTTGTGCATAATGGACTTATTGATATTTTCACGAAATTTGAAATCGAAGAAAAGGAGGTAGAATCCCTTAACCTCGAAGAAAATCACCCGATCAATCCAACTTATCAGTAGTTTGGTCAAAAATGAATATTATGACAAATAATTTCGAATCAAATTATCGACTCATAATAAAGAAGGCTTCTTCTCCACCTACAAACAAAATGAAATCGGCGACTTCAGAACAACAAATACGCATCTTAAATTAAAGTCAATGGTAAAATTAATATTCAAAATTTGTGCTGTATTCTTTAAGGTTAAAACAAGTAAAACTCAAACTTGGTTGGCAGGGCTTGATGAGGAAGAGAGAAAAAAAGGTCTGATAACTGCACTCCGCCATCGAAAGCTTGTTCAAACAAAAAACGCAGAATCGGAAAAATTGGAAAAAGAGGAGTTTCTTCCAAAACTTCAGCAAACTCAAGCCGATGTTGATAGAAGAAAGAATAAGGAAATCAATCAAATGCAAAATCATCGATGCCGGCGTGATAACAGCGAGACTGATCATTGCAATCACAATATTTTTTCTGTCATGGCAGCGGCGCCTGGAAAATCATATAAGTCCGGAAAAAGTTTCAATTTTGAAACTTTCTTTAATGAAACTAAATTTCAAATCAATCTTTTCGGTAATTAAAGATTGTAATCTCACTCATACTTTATATAGATAAGATGTTTGATCAAAACGACGATCAACTCTCAAAAAATGTGGAAAATCTTTCGACGAACCTCATTCGACTTTATTCTAAGGCGCGGCTTTTCAGAAAGAAAAATCATCATAAATTGTTGTAATGGTTGCGATCAGCCCGATTTTGCCAGAAATACAGTCCTTACGGACAATTTTTGAACCCACAATTGCGGAAACAATTGACCGAAAATTTTTTCCATTTAAAAACTCACGAACCCTGTCCAACGAACCTAGTCATCAACCCATTTCCTACACAGAATCTTGATCAGCAGTCAAATTATGAAATTTATTTGAAAGACCGAATATCGCATTGAAAAGCCTTTAAAGATTTAATGAAAATTCTTATGTTCTAAAATGCAAAACAAGTGAATTCCAAGTCCAAAAAGATGGAAACAGTTGGTTCCAGCTACAACTACTAAGAAAAAGAGGGTCGAAAATCAGAATTATGCTCTTGCAAAATGATTCTCCATACTGTACCCAGGATATTTATCTTAACTTATTATCGATTTTACCGAAAGGGTGTACGACTTTATCTAGTCATAACTATGTTAATTTTACAAGTGACGTAAAAGTCATTGAAAGCAAAACTTTCTTTGAGAAATAAAAATATCAATTCAAGTTTTATTTACTTACACATGATTTTGAATGACAGCAATAAGCCTGTTGAGGAGTAAGGATGAAGAATCTCTTTCTGCCTTTAATTTTTTCAAAAATTCTTCAAAAAATATCAAGTCCAAGCAAAATAACCTGTGGGCCTCCCGCCGAAGAGCCCTCACCCGCTTGCGGTCAGCCAGAATTGAATCGCGGTAAAAAAATAAATCGTATTAACTCATCGATCATTTATTGCTTTTTAAAACTCATTCACGGAGATTTTTCAGTCTGTTGAAATACAGTGTCGACCAATTTCATTATTTTACGTATCGCAATCTCTTAATAATATTTTTTAAGAAAAAAAAAAGAAATTATGATTTATTACTTCGTTTATTTTTCAGTCGTGTTCCTCTATCATTGAAACCAAAAAATTTTTTCATGTTCAAATCATATTCACGAAGTTTCTCGCGTGAATCTGCGCATTGATTTTCATAAATCTTCTGTAGGAATTTCACAAAAAAATTTTTCTACAAGAAAAAAAGATGAATTTAATTAGAACAAAAACATCGTGTCACAATTAAAAAATCTTGACGACATCATGTTTGTTTCCGTTCCTTTATTTCGGCGCTTGTTTTCTGTCCTGGATAATTCTCGTCTTTTAATTGATTTTTATTTATGAATAATTTTTTTTTAATTAAAATAAATATTATTATGTATAATCAATTAACTTGAAGGCCAGCTTTTACACTGATTTCAAATGCGCAATTGCAAATTTTTTCATCATTTTCGTAGAAGCTCAAAAACTGCTTCGCTCTCTTCAAACAGGTCATAAAAATCATGTTATAACATTAAATATTTTATTTAAAACCGTTTCTCTACTGTTTGAGCAAATGATTCTCTTCGGGTTGATTTCAATGGTAAATGAGAAAATTCGAAATCGTTAAGGCCAAAAGAAAGTCCAAAAAAGAGGGGAAAAAACATTTGCGATGACCGGATTTTCTTGAATGTTTCACTTTAATTCGAGGGATAGATCATCGAACCGTAAATGACAAAATAGCACGTCGAAAAGAATAAGGGCTTTTTGTTTATAGAAACGCGATGATCTTGAAAATTTTCATTAACCTTGTTGATGTTATTTCCTGATCATCCCTGGCAGAATCCAATTTTTTGAATAGCTTCCCTGAATGATTTATTCGCTTTAAGATTCCTAGGAATTTGAAGTTGAGGGGCCGAAACTGAATTTTATTAGCGGGCTGACCTCCCCTTCGGGTCGGCTTGGCTCCTCACCTGACTGAATTCTAGCGACGATACTAGCCTCCCCTACGGGTCGGCTTGGCCCCCAATCTTACTGAATTCAAGAAACGGGGCTGGCCTTACCTTCGGGTCGGCTTGGCCCCTTACCTGACTGAATTCTAGCGACGACACTGGCCTCCCCTTCGGGTCGGCTTGGCCCCTTACCTGACTGAATTCTAGCGACGATACTGGCCTCCCCTTCGGGTCGGCTTGGCCCCTTACCGGACTGAATTCTAGGAACGGGACGCGCCTCCCCTTCGGGTCGGCTTTGCCTCTCACCAGACTGAATTCTATCAACGGGACGGGCCTTCCCTTCGGGTCGGCTAGGCCCCTTTCCTGACTGAATTCTAGCTACGGGACGGGCTCCCCTTTGGGTCGGCTAGGCCCCTTCCCTGCTTGAATTTTAGTGATGGAGATGGCCTCCCCTTCGGGTCGGCTTGGCCCCTTACCTAACTGAATTCAAGAAAGGGGGCTGTTTCAGGCACTTTTAAGTAAACTCCACTTTAATCTCGTGAATAAACCGATCATTTGGTCTTCAAGCTGTAAGTCTTCCACCCGAAGGTTCCTCCAGGTTGTCCTCCGGAATAAAGTTACTTAAAGTGGCCGAACGTGGAAACTTGTGAACATTTAAAGCTCTTTATTGATCTTTTCTTTATTTTTGTTTTCAAGCAGTCTGGTTTGTCTTCCAGTGAAAGAGTCCTCCGGGATTTTGTCCGGCAATAAATGGCAAAATGTGGCAATATCTGTTCAATCAAGGCTTCATATTTCATTTGCATTTAATTTTTAAATATTTGTCTTCCAGCAACCTGTCTTCCAGCAACCCGTCTTCCAGCAGAGGGGTCCTCCAGGAGTTCCTCCGGCATTAAGTGACTCAGAGTCGCCGAACGTAGGAACTTGTAGAAATTCAAGGCTCTTTATTGATCTATGGTGGTTTTATACTGAATATAATTGGAAGACGGGAATCAATCTCGAATATGTTTATTCACCCTGATAGGTGTGAGCAAAAAATAATAAAATATATATATTATATTTTATGTTATACCTGTGAAGTCAGGGAAAAGAATGATAAAATTTTAGAGGTACAGTCGTTTTTATAGTGTAGGACACCACCCATCGGTGGCACGGACTTAGACTTGGTCGTACGAACTCGGCGTTGGCCATATCGCCAACGCGGGAATAGAGAGGGGCGAGCTGTCAAGGTATGATGGAGTGAAAGCCTTGGCGTTGGGCGCGTCACGGCTCACTGAGCAAAATTACGTTGACCACGCGCGCTAGAATCCCATATTTCGAAGCGAAAACAGTAGGAAAACCACTACATATTTTCTCTTTTTATTTTTGAAGCGAAGGGTCCGTTGAGCGTAGAAATTTTTATTGTTCTTCAATGAAGTCCCAAACTTTTTCTGGTAGAGAATTGTGCTGGATGGAGTTTACGACTTGTAGAGATTCCGAATGTGAGATTTCTGCATGATTGATTCGGTAAGTTGAGTAATTGTGAGCAAGATCATTTGTGAAAATTTTGATGTGAGTCCTCGCGTATTCGAGCTGGTCGGAAATCGATTTTGAATCGGCTTCTAGAAATTTGAAAGCGATCCTTGAGGTGTAATATCGTTTTTCATAGATTGTTTGAAATTGTTTCATCAATTCGATGCGATTGTTTTTATCGACCAAAAGCTGATAGAGAATTGCTGTCTCACTTATCCAGTTGAGCAAACTGTCATGATTTTCAAAAAGCAATTCTTGAAGGTGATCGGTGTCAAAGTGAAAGTGATCTTTAAGGGACTTAGCTTCATTTTTCAATTCTTGCAAAAAGTCGAGCAGCGATTGCAAGTTTTCTTTTGAAATTGAGTTCGGTAAGAAGTGAATTGGAATAGTGACATCAAAGAGAGCAGGAATGATAAAGCGTTGAATGAGTCGCTTTGGAGGAGCGTCGTTTAGCAGGAAGAAATCATTTTTAAGGCTATAACCTCTCTGTTGGCCTCTCTGGAGAACGGACTTCCGTTGGTCGATTTCAAAAATTTAAGAAGCAAACATACTTGTTTTCTCCTAAAGAATTCAAAAATGCCATCAAAAAATACTTTTCTTTGGTAAATTTTTGCTCTAGAATCACTTAAAAATCGCCATTCGGTTTTCCGAGAAAACAAGAAGTTCTGAGATAGAATTAATCCGATAATAATATTAAATAGAGCATATTCTATGATCCTCACGGAAAAATATTCATGAAATTGTCCAAATTATGATTATAGTTCTCTCTTCTTTTAAACCTCTTTTGTTTATAGACTAACGCTCGAGATCCGCGCAGCCAATCAGAGCGCGATCAATCGCTTGACTCACACGCTCGCCAACAGCGCTCTCTTTCTGGCCTGGAGGATAGCACTCCGCGCAGCGCGTCCACGCGCATTTTTATCCTCAGGTGCCAGCACTAACATGGCCTTAGAATGGAAATTTGAAGAGCTATCGAAAATTTTTTCCGTGGGGATTGTAGAGAAGGCTTTAATCTATTAATTGATCGAAAAAAATCTACCTCTGTAATGGTAAAATTCTTCGGAAAACCGAATGGCGTTTTTTAAATGATCGTAAAGTCGAAATTTCGAAAGAAAAGATAATTTTTGATTGCATTTCTGAAATCTTCGATAGATTTTGAGTATATGAGACTTTTTAATTTTTGAAATCGACCAAGGGTAGTCGGTTTTCCAAAGAGGCCAAAAGAGAGGTTATAGCCTTAAGAGAGGCCATTTTCGCGTTTTTCTCTTCAAAAAATAAGTATTGGACCGACCAGTACTCCTTTCAGAACCATATTTTTCTGAGGCTAGAATGCGCCATCGAGTGTATCTTCCGGACGTTGTGAGGTCATTCCGATAGTCAAAGTCGTGAGCTGGGCCTATCGTGATGGGTATTTTTCTGTTTACTTGTTTCCCCTTTTTATGTTTGAGCGAATGATCTTCACGAGCAGGAGATCGTAAATGAGCGCCAGTTTGGGAGCTTTTGATCATCACGAGCAGATGATCTTTAAATGTGTACCTGTGATTCGAGCAGTTATCTAGTAGAACTTTGAGCAAAGATACAATTTAGAACAAAGAGCGAGTTCTTATTAGAAGAGAGTATGACACAATAAGCGATAGAAAGTTGTGAACAGAGCTGTGAGATTGTGAATATTTGAAGCAGATGTTAATTATTCTACTCTCTTGTGAAAACTTTGAAGCTAATGAGCGTTATAACTTCAATCTAAATTTAAAGGCATGTGAGCGTTTTATTTTATAGCAATAGAGCAAAATTGCTGCGAGCATTAAGTATTTTAGTGAGATAAAGTTCGTGAAAATTTAAATAGGGATTAATTAAGCCAACAAGCGGGGCGATTATTAAAATAAGCTTGTGAACAGAAAATTTAAGCATTGGAACCCTATTGTTAAGAATATTTAAAGCATTTGAGCGAAGCTTTGAGCGGAACGTGT